TTATGGAATATTTTTGTGGACTAAAAACACTCAAAAATCATATAGAATTGTGATGAATTTCTTTGTGCTCAAAAAATTTCTGAAATCATTTAGAAATTGTAATACATTTTTGCAGATTAAAACATTTATAAAATACATTAAATCTTGATTGGTGACATTTATAAGTGAATGATACTGTGACGCCACAATAGGCATTTCATATTTCCCAACTTTTAAAATTTCTTAAACTTATCTTTTTAATCTTTTTTAATCGAGTTTTAATAAAATTAAACCAATTATTTAATTTGTATTACATTTTATAAAAATACTAATCTAAATATTTTATTCTTTTCTTAGCAATCAACGTAACGGCTAACTTTTTACTTCAATTCAAATGTAAAACTCATTGATTCACTGTCGTGACTAAATCGAACATCAAAATATATATTTAACGCTTTATTCTTGTTTTCTTAACACAAAAATGTTTCAGTCACATGGTTATACTAATTCTCACAGTCTTTTTGGGGATTCGCTTTCGCCAAATTATTTTCAAATTTAATATTGATTATGGAGGTTTGGCTTTATTTTTGGCTATGTTATCTTTCAAAAAATCGCCAACCGTGGATCTATTACTATGGTCCTAACTATTCATCGAGAAACAATTCACTTACTTTTTAATATGGATCATGGGGGTTTGGCTTTATTTTTGGCTACGTTATCTTTCGATGAATCACCAACAGTTGATCTCTTCCCATGCTCCTAACTTGTCGTTGGGAATCACTTTACTTACTTTTAATTTTGAATTTTTCTCTAACAGATTAGGGGCTTTGGCTTCTCAGTCCTAACCGTTGAATTGATATCTTTGCAGAAACTCTTGATGAGATAACAAGAATGATTCTCTTTATCCCATTAATATACTTTCTTTTCTTAATTTTATAATTTTGGAATGTGGCCATGTTCATTTTGATATTCACATAATAATTTTTTCCTAAACGATTCTATTCATTTTTCTGGGATATATATCTCTACATAATATCCAAATTAAACTGTATCTGAAACGGCTATAATACTTAAATTCTGCAACAAAACTACATCCTACTAAGGGGCCGTTCAAAAGGTACGTACACAAAAATGGAGAAATTTAAACCCCCTCCCCCCATCGTACATAACCGTACACAAGGTATTACTCTCCCCCTCAGAGTACGTACATTTTATTAGTCTACCCCCCTTTTTCATAAAAATTAAAATAATTATGTTTTAAATAAAATTAAATATTTATTTAATATAATTTATTAATTTAAATTATTTAAACAATAACACCCAACTTTATGTACGTACTTGTATAATACCTCCTCCCCTCCCCATCATACAAAACCGTACAAAATAGCAAATCCCCTCCCCCCCTTCGGGATGTACGTACTTTTTGAACGGCCCCTAACCACTAATGAAGAGAATTTGAACTAAAACTAGCACAAAAGATATTAATAGTAAATTTTAAATAAATATGGAAAAAATAGCACTTTGAATATGACAGATGGATCGAAACATATCTCAATGATTGATAAATGCGTAGCTTGAAAATGTGTAAGCATTTGCAAAAAAATTATTTTCTTATTTTAAAGCGAATGCACTCATAAAATGATACAATTTGATGTATTTTTCATTATTTTTATTTCAGTATTATAGCGAAGAAAAACTTACGCTGCTGAAGTCCAATTTTATTATATTTTGCAGTGTATAGATATAGATTATAATAATAGTAAGAGCCTTAATCCCTTTAGAATATAAAAAAAATTAAGTGTAATGATTCCAAATAGTAAGACTCATTTTGAAAATAATGCTCTTTTATATACGATATAAAGAAAATATATTATAGTTTTTTGCTTCTCTAAAAGTAAAAAAAAACACTTTTCCATTACACCATAAAAAAATAATGTAAGACTTATGCAAATGAAACATAATATTTCATTCCTCATATTGAGACGTAATCGAAAGAAAAAGAAACTGAAAATAATGTACACTCAGAACGAAACGTCTCTCTTTTTATTGATTATTTTATCCCGAAAAAAAATATTTAAAAGCATAAGCTTATGTCAGATGAAAACATCAAGTCATAAATCATTGAAATTGAATACGAACTAAATAAATGCTCTTTTTTACCAGTCTGCGAAAAAAAGAGATAGATTTTATCGCAATGAATGAAATAAGAAAACTTTTCGAGCAATGATAGATGCGAATCAATAAGAAAAGTTCCTTAAATCAAGAAACTATTCACTGCCAAGTAATAAAGGGATTGGTTTTAAAACAAATGTCAAAATAAACAAGATGATATTTAAAAGTACTTTTCTTTTTGCATGGATTTACGCTTTATTTCTTTATTTTTATAAAGTAAGAGATGAAATAAACTATTGTGGATAGTTAATTATCAAAAATAATTGTTGATAAAATGATCGGTTTCACCAATTAGCAATTAAAAATATGTTTTAGGATGCTTCCTTCATTTGTAGATTAGGAAATGTTTTTAAAATACTCCGCTAATCAGCTTCATAATTTTACTCATGATTTATAATAAAAATGATAACTGTACTATACCTGCATTTACACATCGTTCAAGAAGTATTATCAGCTCAATTTTAATGTGTACCCTTGCTTTTATATCTCGTGTGTTTTTTGAATCTACAGAATTAATTACTTGAAGTCATAAAAATGGACACGTTTTCATTTTCTATGAAATATTTCGTTTCGTTAGCAAATAAATATTAACACACATATATGTTTTTTTTATGTTATTTAGTCCTACACATTTTAATTAATATGTTTGTGTTCCAGTATTTTAATGCAGAATAAGTTAACTTTAAGTTTCTAGCGTGAACAAAATCATTTTCAAAAATCATTATGAAAATATAGTTTAAAACTGTGTTTAAAAATTGTGTAACGTTTTTTCTATTTACAATAGGACAGTTCAACAGAAACAACTCCTTACAACTCTTTCAGAAGATCTTGGCAAATATGTCTAACTTCACATAAGTTTTTAGTTGTATCATTTACTCAGAACTACTTACTAATATGAAAATAATATTAATATAAGCATTTAAAAAAATATTTCACAACATTGTAATAGAATATTATATAAAACACCATTGTATCAATAATATGTTTTTTTTTTATCTTTCTTCCATACCTACAGCTATGAAATATGAGTAAGAAAGTCGTAATTATTGAAGTAAATTTCAAGATTTTGTTTTTTGTAAAAGAACAAATTTTTCACGAAGCACTACTCATTGAGAAAATAAAAATAGTGTAAAGATTGAATAAAAAGATAAGATAATTAATTGCGTTCTCGCTTCTTATGTTAACTTCTACTATACTCCATGTTTGTCTTATTTGAACTTTTTCCAGTTTTTTCCTTCTATTCATTGTTTAATTTTTCCTGCCTAACTTCCTTTAATAACAAGTTATTTGATATTTCTGTATTTCTCTAAGTCTCAACGCTCATTATTGTAGCATAAAGTGGAAGTTTACTGTTTTTAAATTAAGCTGAGGAATATTTTTTTTAGTTTGCATGGTATTTTTTTTTAAATGATCTCAGTTAGGTTTGTATCTCTAATTTCAAATCTGCAATCGGTTTATCTCTTTAAGCTACATGTTTTTTTAAATAAATTTTTCGTCAATTTTTTGCCGACATGTTTAAGTTTAAAAGCGTTATATATCGTATAATATTTTAAAGAACTTCTAAAGGAATAAGAGCACATCATCAGGATTAAAACTGCTTTGGAACCAATGTCGGAAATGTCTTCATACGTCGCTTCCTTACGTCGTTTCTTTATTACGGACACTTTCTTCGCGAGCTTCTAAGCGGGACATAATAGAGAAGCTACCCTGCTATCGTACAGCATTTTCTATGCAATTTTAATCCTGGATCCCTATGCAATTTTATTCCTGATCAAGATGCTTGCCTTAAAATCGCAACTTCTTGTTATACATAACGTTTTTAATCTTGTGTGCTTGAAAAAAATAGACTAAAATGTCATTTTTTAAAGAATCTGTAGCTTTAAGAGCAAACCTGATTTCAGATTTGAATTTACTACACCCAAATCCGGCAAATTCAAGTAATTCTGATCCAATTCTGAGTTTACGAATATCAATGTTCTACTACATATTCAAGTATTTTATTTTATGTTTTATAACCAGCGTTGAACAGTCGACCTTATTCTGAGTTTACGACTACCACTGTTTAACTCTTTAGTCTTGTAATTTTGAACTAAATCCAGAGAACAAGGGAACTCCTGGACTAAGCATTGGGAGAAATTTGCGTTCGTGGTGAACTTTTTGAGGAAACTAACCCACAATTGCATTACATGGAGTAGGAAACCACGAAAACTTCCCCCTCTTACCCTGATGACAAGGGAGTCCATGATCCATCTATCACTAAGGATATTTTGCGTTAACACTGTGGGTGGGAAATTCGTATTTACTAGCCATCGCTGATATTCGAATCCTGAACCCCTAGTTGGAAGGAAGAACTCTATGCCTTTAGCTACCACTGCTCAAGTTCAAGTATTTTAAATTATAACCGTCGTTGAACAGCCGACCCAATTCAGCGTTTACGATTGTCAATTTTCAACTCTGTGGCCTTGGAAAGTAGAACCTAACTCAAAAGTCTAGGGAACTCTTAGTTCCATCAAAAAGTCCACCACGGAGACAAATAAACAAAACTTGATCTAACTCTCTTTTGCATCACATGGGGAGGAAAACGACGAAAACCTCTCATGGTTACCGTGACGGAAAGGGGACTCGATCCCATGATCCGTCTACCACTGAGGATATGTTACGCCAGCACTATGGTCAGTGCGAACCGAGTGCGGATTCAACTAGCCATTGCTGTGAGTGTCGAACCCGGGCCACCTCATTGGGAGACGAGTTCTCTATCCCCTGAGATCAAACAGTCAATTTTAAGTGTTTGTATAAATGCAAAAAAATATTGTTCCCATATGTTATTTTATCTATGCATTTTATTTTGTAGGTGCCTCAGCTGTTGAAATACGCCGACTCGTCGTTCCCCGATACATTCAAAATGGAACCAGAGACTCGATTGTTATGGATTGCGATTACAGTTACAATGAAAATGACCTGAGGCTTGTGGTCAAGTGGTTCTTTGAAGATAGCTTGGAACCTATCTATCAGTGGATACCAGAACTAAAACTAAAGCATACTTCAGAGTTTTTTAAGAACAGACTAGACTTGAACTACTCCGTAAATACCATGGATGATTATTCTAGATTTAGAGCATTGAAGATTTACAGACCTTCGACAGAACTTACCGGAAAATATACATGCTTAGTCACATCTCTTGCCGGACAAGACTCAAGAGAGCAAGTTATGACGATTTATGGTAATTATGCTAACAAACCTTTCGGTAATAAGTTGTTAACTGACTGTCTAATAAGTTTTACTTGCGTTAATGCAACTAGTTTTGTTAGCATTAACTAACGTTGCTTTTCTATTTTATCTATGTATTAGTTATTTAGTTAAAATATTCATTAAATTGAGTTCACTGAGCTAATCTAAGTAATATTGCAACCAATAAAGTAAATAGATTTCTAAGTGTTAAGATACTTTGTTATCGATAGTTCAGTAGTATATCAATGTATATAAATAAGATAATTTCTTAAGTAATTTCGTATGGTTTGTAGGTGATTCTTTATCTGATTTATAAGTGACAATCTATTCTGTTCTTCAGAACTTAAGCTGTTCTGTAATTTCTCATTTAAATTATTTATCTAATCAGTTCTTCAGCTACTAATTAACTCATGGGTTTAGATACTAAAATGTGAGTTAAATAGGGGCAACAGTGCTGCAGGGAGGCCGTGCAACGCAATTGAATTAATGGTCATCACATTAGCTATAAAGAGATTTAACCTCAAAACCAGTGGACTCTCCTTTCTAATTTCACACTCATGTGCACTGTATGATAAAGTAGAACTGATAATCTCATGTAGTGTTTCTACTATGTTTTCCGAATAAGTAACAGCACCATTTACTCGAAACTTAATATGACTGGCGCTCTGAAGTGTCACCAGGGACTTCAAACGTTCCGCAATGCGTCTGAGCTGTGTTATAAAACAATGACGAGCTGGATAACAAATAAGGGCACTGAATGTAAATGTTATCCTTTTATCAGAGGAGAATAATTACATACCTGGGACTGGGGAGAGTTGTAATATAAACCTTACTCCTTATACGTATATTTTTAGAGATGTGCTGGGTCAGGTGAGAGAGGTTCAAATCCCGACAATGGCTGGTTGATTCAAATTCTGCACCAGGCTCGCACCGACCACAGTGCTGACATAAAATATGGGTTAGAGTCCCCTTCCCATCAGGCTATCCGTGGGAGATTTTCATGAATTTCCTCTCCATGTAATGCAAATGCGGGTTAGTTCCATCAAAAAGTCCTCCACGAAGGGAAATTTCACTCAATACTTGATACAGGAGCTCCCTTGTCTTTTGGATTGGGTTCAAAATTACAAGGCTACAGAGTTGAACATTGGTATTCGTAAACTCAAAATATGGGTCGGTTGTTATAAAAAAATAAAATAAAATATACTTGATACCTAATTTTGTAAATGTATCAGAGGAAGAATTAGAAGAATAAGAAGTTGAAGAAGTAGGAAAGAAAGAAGAAGGAATAGATGAAGAAATAAATACTTGGTAGCCTTAATTTTAGATCAGTTACAAACAGTGTTCAGGCTCTATTCTACTCCATTCGAACTAAACAGAATAGATGCTATATGACTTCCATATCGCTATCAATGAACTGTAAACAATTCTGGTAACTATGTCGAAGATCAGTTTAGTAAAATGTATCGCTTTTGTATCAGAAGTGAAAAAAATAATTGCCACTATTTAAGTTCCATTCATTGTAGTTACTTTTTAAGGTGCTAATCTAAATAAGAAGATATTAAACGACTTGCTTTTCAAATGAGTTACTCTTTTTTAGTTCCATAAGTAATCATTTAATTGTTTCTCAAGTGTTAATCAATAAGTTAATTACTGATATCATCAGTTCTGAATATGCTAATCAAATTATTTATGTTTGCGCGTATCTGATTATTTCTGTTGATACTAATCTAACGTTTTAGTTAATCGTTTCTCAAGTGCTAATCAATAAATTTATTGTCAGTCTAATCAGTTTTAATGCTAAACTGATTTGTTCTGTATTTGTTTATCTAGTTAGGTCTGGTGATAATAACCTAATTTTTTTCTGCTGAATATGATTTTTCAAAACTGTAAACATGATTCTGATTTAGGTAAACTAATTAAACAAATGTATACTTTTGCTTAAAAGTTAAATCAGAATAACTCAAAAATATGCGTCTAACTTTAATATTTAATATTTTAAATACAACTGCTTTCTATGCATCGTAAAATTTTAATAAAAAAATAAGTTTTGTTTCGATTAAAAACAAGAAATTAAAAAAAGAACTAAATGAATTACTCTGATTATTTTTTGAAAAAAATAAATGTATATATTTCGTGTTTGACGCTAAAGAAGCAAAAAGTTACACAAAAAAACGCCTTTTCTATTCAGATGGCGCTTTCATCAAATAAGTAAACATGACTGTTGTAACACACAAAATTTATTAGTATTTTTTTTTGAAAAAAAATATAGCACCAAGTTGTATGAATAAATTATTACAAATAAAAATTTTTTTTTTACTCTCTAAAAGATTGTGAAAGAGAAATGGAATGAAAAAAACAAATAAAGACTGTAAACGAAATAATGTTTTCTTTCGTTGAAAAAATCAACCAACACGCTAGAGTACTTTTAACGAATTGGCATTCAAAAGAATGACTTATTTATTTTAAAACAAAGGCTTTTTTTTAACCAATACCATATTACTTAACAGTTAAAAAATTACATTTTAATCCTAAACTTTTTAATACCATTTAGTACTAAATGCGTTTTATGCTTTGATTAATTTGAATATTGTCTGAATATTTCATGTAAGTTAATGAGTTTCAGTACTTTTACTCGAGAGATGTGTTTAAATTGGCGTTTAAAGCATTTTTTAAAAATTTAATCGAATTTATCATGTGAGGGAGTTAGATACGTGGCATTTTCACTTGAAATAGATTTTTATAGCTCATTATGATTTAAAAAATGCCATTAGCTGTTATGGGTAACGCATTATACGCTTATCAGAACTCGAAAAAATGTGAGATCGGCATTTTTTGTAGCACATAAAATTTCATGAATTTTCAAAATGTCTGTTGATTCCTTTTAATTCTTTTCAATTTAATCAAATCCATTAGAGAAATTAAGTGAAAATGAAAAACCTTTCTAAAAAATAAAACTAATCGTTGTTTTCTGAATAATTTGTTTTTGCATAATGAATGGTCTTTGCATAATGAATGGCTTATGTAAAGAGTGCTTATTGACTTAATTCAACTTACCGTTTCAATAATAACAAAAAATCCTCTACACTGAATAATCATTTCCTTTTTGATCCTTTTCTACCGTGTGTTGATCCCTCAACATATTGAGAGTGAGTAATCGCAATTTTGGAGACAGTTAAGTCAAGTGATTCGTCAAAAAAATTTAAACTTATCAATGGTATTCTTGCTATCAGTGACTTTGTCTATATGCTAGAAAATTGTTAAAGAGCTAATATAATACAAATCGGAAATTTTTATGACTCTAAAGTTATTTAAAATGTTAAAAAAAGCTTAAATTTTCTTAATTAAGTTGTACCTAACCTAAAAAATAAGAGAAATGCGCTAAATATTTTCCAAAGTCAAAACAAATAGTTTCTAATATTTATTTTCCAAAAATATTTAACTGATTTAGTCCAGACTTGCAATTGTGAAATTTAAAACTATGTAGTGAAAGAGAATTAATTATATGGCTTTTATTAAGAGGTTTTTACTATTAATTAACAAAAAATTTTAAATAACTATTATAAATTATATATTGTATGAAATTATCTTTAAAAAGACGAGTATCAAAAATGAGTGCATTTTACTTCAAAGCCGGATAATTAGTTCGACCTATATTATCTAGATGCGATTTACACTAAATTGATTACTGAGTTACAAAAATGGTTAATTTAAAGTGAAGATTTTGCAAAAACTGACTTTTATTATATTTTATAAAATCCTTAACTATGTAATATATTACTTTTTATACTTTGCGTGCCACCAATTGAAATAAATCTTTTAAGTTTTGTATCAGAATGATTTTCAGTCAATTCATTGAAAGAACAGCAATCGTTATGTTTACAGAAATATATTATCTATACATATCACAATACATATAAAAATAACTGGCATTTTGAAACATAAGCTCTCAGTCTATAAAGTAAACGTTCAAGTATTTTTATTTTCGTAAAGTAATTTATCAAAAAACTTTAAATGTTTACTAAGGAAAGTTATATTTCTACTCAACAATCTAACGAAAAATAATGCTTTTAGATTGAAATAAACAGTTGCAAAAATGTTTTATTTACCTGTGATTTTAAGCTTAAAACTGAACATAAAGTAGATAATATTATACTTTAGCAAGTTTACCGGGCCGTGTACTTCCCAGGAAACTGACCTCACATCAGTAAGGTCCTGGGTTCGAATTCCTATCAAGGCATGGATGTTCTTTCCTTCTCCGCACTACATTTCATTACTGTAAGAACATTGTTGATGTGCCCAATATGGTACCCCTGAAAGAGTGGTCAACATATCTGTCCTGCTGATATCTCAATGACCAGTGTCAATAGGGTGGGTTTTGGAAAAAAAGTACTTCTGCAACTTAAAGTTTAATAAAACTGAAAACTGAATTTAAATTTAAAAAAAAGCTCTGTGGAAGTAAAAATAGTTAAAAAAAATTAATGCTGTACTTTTGATTTTTAAAAAGTCTTCTATTTTGCGTGGAAAAAACATAAGTGCATTTTATTGTCCTCATAGGACAATCACGATAAAGAACATTTTCATCAATTAAGTAGTTTATCTATATAAGAAATCACAATGTTGATATGTATGTATGTGCTGTGCCCCGAAACTCTGAACCGATCCGCCAGACGATTGGTGCATGTTCAAAGACTTAACTGTCTATATTAAAACTCCTCAGGAACACTAACTTGCACACTACATCTGAAAAAAGGAATTTTCCTTAGGACTTATTAAATATTTTATAATATGAGTGATTGGCCAACTTACAACTCTGATCGATCAAAAATTAGTTTTATCGCATATTTTTATGAATTATATATTTTTTGTATTCTATGTTAGGTTATTAAACGCAAAATCTACGTAAATAATTTCAGGATAGGTATGGTAATGACGTCGACGATTGCGTACTTTAAAAAGTGTGCCAAAGCACTTGTTTCTAATATTGATAAAGCAAAAATGTTGACATCAAAAAATTAACAAGAACTAATAAAGTAAAATTGAGGTTAAAATGAAATAAAATGAAGCAATGAGAAAATTGTGGTAAATTCTGAATATCACACGCAAAATGTTACTATATATATATCCCGTGTATTAGATGATGACTGATGCACGTTAAATCTGTTGAGATCAAAAAGTCATCCAAGTTTCCGTGACAAATCAACACATCTGCGGGTACTAAATTGAAGATTGATAGTTCTTTGATTCAGGTCAAAATTACGATATGCGGATGAATGAATGGATGCATGAATGGTCCGCCCCCTTTAAAACGGGCTGTGACGTGTGTGTGTAGCTGACCTAAAAAACAAGAAACGCAACCTCTGTTTTAAAATTCGCTTGATTTTCCAAGCAGACTCATGGCATTGGCATATAGCAATAGAAACATCAATATATATATATATATATATATTTATTTANATATATATATATATATATATACTTAATCTTTCTTTTGGTGAGTGGAAATTTCTAGTTAAATTATGGTATATTAAATAGTATGATGACACACTGGAAATTTTATTATCAATATTAATTTCATACATATTTAAATGAGCAAAACACAAACACTGTCATCTCTAAACTAAAACTCAAAACTCATTCGTAATTCTCTATGTAAACTGTATCTAATTATAAGGTTGAATTTTTCAAATGATTTTAAGAATGCATACAAATGATTTGAAAAGAAATTTAACTAAGGAACACAATGATTTATCATTTCAGTGCCGGCACACGAGTTTGAGCTCAAATATTCGGAATCTCTATCCGACACTGTCAACGTTTCCTGCGAAGTCTTCGGGGTGTTTCCGTTTCCTTTGCTGAAACTCTATATTAGTTCATCTAGTGGAAGTGCGCCCAAAATTGTGCCCGATGTGGAATATCTGACTTTAAAGGAACCACAGGAACAACCTGGTTCCTACAATGTTCTTTTACAAAGGACGTTTAAAGCTACCGAGATATCTTCGAAGAGTGCCACAGTATTTGAATGTAAATTAGAACTTCCTGGAACAAACTATGCACAGTCAAAAAGGATTGCCTACTACCCTGGTAAGATGTTACTTTTGCCTTATTCGAAACCTATTTATGTAGTTGCATCAAAATTTTTTTTAAATGTATTGAGCACTGTCATCAATTATTCAGAATGACACATCGTATTTTTTGGTAAAAAGTAAAATGTATTTAATTTTCGAATATATAACAGAATGATTAACTAGATGGACGGCCGGAGCCATTTTGGTCCCTATCACTTTTAATTGCTCAATGGTTTAAAAAAATAACTTACTGAAAGTATTGAATGTTTTGACTTTTCATAACCTGATCAAATTTCAATGTGTTAGCCTTATAAGAATGTATTTATAGAACATTACATCTAGAATGACGAGAGGTGTCAGAGTTGACGTAAAGATATTTTGGTAATACCCCATAACCCTTGGTTGATTTGCGTATAAGGTACAGTTTAGTAATTATGAAGTATCCCAGTTTCATTAAAATAACAAGAGCATTTCAGCATGTCAATTATTATATCGGGGGGATCGGAAAGTAATTTTGTTTCTGTGCATTTGATATTTGTTATCAAGATTTTATTTTTAATTAATAATGTATTCTCCCTAGGTAGCGACAACCATTCAATGCCGGATAGAAAATGAATCGAAATGGATCGAAAAAAATGAACTGGTTTTTAAGACTAACGAATATTTAGTGCGCCGAAACGACATTACTTTCCAGTCCCCATAATATATATATAGAGAAAGAGAAACTAAATAATCAAAGAAACTAATGAATATGTATTATTTGGAAGTCAATGTTGTGTTTAATCAAATATTTTCTTTAGTCAAATTGAATACAATTCCTCAGAATTCTGATGACCGAGCCTCTTATATATTTTGTATTAATAATTATAAGTAAATTTTAAGATTTTAGATGCTTTATTAATCTATATTCAAACAATCTGGAAAGAGCCTGACTGGCCAATTCAGACATTCTAGGCATATATCATTGTTCAGTCTTTTTAGTTTCGAATAGCTTGGGACAAATTATTCAGAAACCATTGATATTATTTTAAGCATAAGTACATATTTAAAAAAAAAAATTAATTAATTTTGTGCTTTACGTGCTGAACAAAACGTCTGAATCACTTCTCTTATTATGGCTATTATTTAGTTAATATTTTTTATGTCTTTCTCAAAATCTAATTAGTAGAGTATTAATCTTATTAGATTACTGTTGCTTAGATACCAAATGAAGGAAAAATATTTATAAAAGAACTGAAATCAATATGGAGTGTTATTAAGATATTCACATATTTGTATTTATATTTTTTCCACATTTCACGCAAGGAATTCTTATTAAATAAACTATTTAGAAAAGATTGCGTGAACAAATATGAGATTAGCCTTTTGAAAATGTGCAAGTAGAAGAAAGTGGAGAAAAATTTGATTTAAGTACGAGTAGAAAAAAAATAAATAAAAAACAAAAATAAATAGGTATTTATTTTTGATTTTTTGAACTTATATTTTTATTCATTAATAGTAAGAGAGTAGAGACGTGTCTATTACCCACCTAAATGATTTTTGTTACAGAATTGTGAAATTTCAATGAAAAAAAAAGCCGCTAAAGTAATATTGATGAGTTAACTGACTGTCAAAGTAATAAAAAAGGCAAAACAAAAAATCTTTTTTTGTGTAATTATTAACAAATTCATATTACTTCCATCTCTATTTCTTTTATCGGAGTCTTTAGATGAAGATAAAATTTGAATAATTTGAAGAAAAAAAATTGGAGATTTTGGAGATTTAAAATTGGAAATTTTTATGTTTATTTCCCAAAATTTCTGAATAGTGTTCAGAGATACAACAAGAAAATATTCAAAAAGTAAATCAGTATATAGCTTGCCGAGAAGATCCAATAAGAATTATCCTAAAGTTTAAATTGAAACTGGAAGTAAAACTAAAATTAGAGACGAAATTATCAAATGTATAATGAGAAATAAAGGTTGTATAGGAAAAGGTATGGTGAACAGCAGTACAGATAAAACTGCTTTTTTTTTCTTTTTTTTTTGTAAAAACTAAAGTATTTATTTATAAAAAAATATATGCATTGTTTGTAACGTAAACTCTAAATTATGTAAATTTATAGTTTACGTGGGATTCAGTAGATTGTATCAACAAGTGCTATAGTTGATGTATCCTTTTATCGTTTAAAAAATAAAGTTAATATAATTTATTACTTTTTTTGCTCTTTTACTTTTACTCAATTAATAAATACCAATATTTTTTTCTTAATTTAAAAGTGAAATAGTGTTTTTTATTATAATATTAACAAAAGAAAAATGAAATTTATTATGAAAATGAGTCTTTATCCAACCATATCTGAACAAATCGGCAAATAAAATGCAGCAACGGGACACGATTAGAACAGGATTTTTTGAGAATAGAATTATCGAATTTCAGTACACGTAAAAAATAAAAAACAAAAGAAAAACATTTTGTTCATAATAGACATATCTTCAGGGGTTGGGCCTTTACGAATTTACCCATTTACCTGGTATTTTCTACTCCAGTCTTTTACATGTTTTCTGGTCCTGCGATATCTTAAAGTAAAACAAATCTTTCCGATTATACTGACCAAAACTGTTTAGAAACTTTCTGTAGGGAATAGTAGGGAAAATGCTTTTCTGTAGAGAAATTGAACATGATATTTTTATGACGGAAAAATAGTTACGTATGTGCACATTGTGCAGCAATTTCTTGAAATGCCACCTGTTTCAAAGGTAAAAGACATATGTTATTGTTTGATTATTTTTAACAATAACTGGGCATTATTGATTATAATGAAATAATTTGGTCTAAGTGGATGATTCGTTACAATTTATCACAATAATTCGCAATTATTTTCCGGTAGTGAATTAATTTTGGATTTGCTTCAGTAGTTCTCTCTACATATCAAAAGTATACAATTATTTTAATTCATAACCGTCGTCGAACAGCCCTCCGAATCCCAGTTTTAAGTTTACGACTACTAATATTCCATTCCACAGCCTTATAATTTTGAACCCAATCCAGAAGTCAAGAAAACTCCTGAATTAAATATTGGGAGAAATTTGTCTTCCTTAATTAAATTTTGATGGAACTAACCCTAATTTGCGTTGCATGCAATAAATTAGTTCAATTTCATGAATTTCAAGTTATATAAGTTAACTCAAGTAAACTTAAAAAAATAGCTACTTTGTTAAATATTTCTCGGAAGAAATTCTTATATAGAAATTCATTTGAATGTATTTTTACAACATTTAATCAAAGCAGTCGAATAATAATAAAAAAAATCGTATTCGAACTGTTAACTGAGAGAAAAATCGCTTATTGGCTGTTTTCACATAATATGGTTAAACAATTAGAATTTTCTTCACTCCAGCTAGGTCCCACAAACCTATGAAAAAGATAAGTTCTTCGACAGCTGGAAGCTGAGTCGTGTGATAAGAATTCAGAAACCATATTCTTATTTTTCACCATCAAAAGTATAACAAAAGAGCGACTGCCTAATGATATTATAGTAATGTGTATGTTATGAACATCTTATGAAGCAACTTAGTTCCTCGCAGCTGCGTCAAAAGGGCTAATTTATCAATCTCATGACAGGCTGAAAGGGTGTATGAAGCATAGCGTTGACACCCCAATATTTCGTTTTCATGGACTTTAAAACTTTTTGCATACTTCGTTCTATTTAACATTATTTAATTTACTAAGTATGTATAAAATATAAATTTGAGTTCATTGGTTTCGTAAAAAAATATAAAAATCAATTTGCAGTGAAAATTATCTATTTCAAATGATTTATCCAATTATCTATTAAGAAATTATCTATTTAAAATTACTGTAAAAGTTGGAAAGCAATCCATCTCTTGAAAAAGCAATATTGCCTATTCCTTGAAGTTAAAAATGGTGTTTATTTATTTTTTAAATTTATTTTTCAATTTTTATCTAAAAACAGTTAAACATATGAAAGACATTATTTGCAATCATTTCTTTTTTTTATTTTATTTAATCCTAGTTGAAGTAGAAACAAATAGAAGTGAATGTTTTATTTTGGTCTCATTTGATCCTACATAATGGGTACATGTCCATAAAGTTTGTAATTAGGGAAAGAAAATCCCATGGTTAGATAAAAGGTAATTCGTGTTTTCGCCGAAGGTAGTAATCCTTTTTATGCTTTTTATTTCCTTATTCTGTCTATAGATAATTACGTCTATTCATATTAAGAATAGTGGGTTTTATAATTTACCACAACTTTACTATGCATATCTATTTTACATTCATTAATAATAAGTCAATTTCGTCTCAAAAGAAAGATTTTAATAATTTTTTTTATTTTCTTTATGTTTCTTTTTTCAAGAGGCTTTCGTCCAGCAGCCCTCAGAAAAGAAAAAACTTTATTATTTTAATGTTTTTTTTTTCAAGTTATGCTTGTTTGCGATATTATATATTTTTAACATAGTACAATATATGTTCTAATTCTAAGTAAGAAGAAATGAGTTTTTTCAACAGCCACTTTTAATATATTTTTTTCTTTTTTAGGAATTCAAGGGCTACGGATAGGTAAGTAATATTTTTCAATATATAAATAATTATTAAGATTTTTCCCCTTTTTTGTAAATTACTTGAGTAATAATATCATTTCTATTTAAATGGCTCATAGCACTTCTTAAAATTTTAGAATTGAAAATTTGAATACTGAAAATAGTCTACACTGTAAAAGATCAGGTTCTGGTTGGTAGGAAAAAAATGCACTATTTTAACCATGGATCATGTATTTATGTTACCTAATGGCGAAATCCTCCAAAAAACTGGAAAATGTACGAAAAAAATTATCCATTTCCTCTTAGCTAACTGTGCATTGTAGTAGTGCGTATTACAGATTAACACTGATTCTGCAAATCATATTTTACCATATATTTTTTTAAAAATATAATCCGAAAAATTACGGAGAGTAGAACAAAAAAAAATTAATTCCAAAACTTACTCAACTACCGACACTAAAGTTTCCAAATAAAAAACTTTTGCAAATCTGCGAAAATATGATTAATGAAAGTTGATGATTAAAAAAAAATCAAATTCTTAAAATAAGATTTAAGGAAATGAAGAAAATTTAGTAGAAAAGAAAATATTAAGTTCGGAATACTCTGGTTACTTGGTTTCGAATTGTTGAATAAAAAATGTCACTAGTATAAATTCAATTACTATAAAATTTTAACATGATTTCTTGCGCATAATTTTAATCACATGTTGGAAAACTTTGCTAATAATATTGAACTAATTTTCATGCTAGGGTCATTAGGTTAAGGGTGAGTATTTTAGGGTCGGAAATAAATTTGAATTTAGTAAAATGGTACTTCAGATTTCAGTTTTGAGAAATAACAGCTTATTGAAAATATTAACACATTTTGCTCCTGATAAATATGAAATATGCTTTTTTTTCTATTTTAGAACCAGTTACATATGTTTTGTATAGATTTTATAAGTCTAAGACAGTTTTCAAACATTTCTGTATCCCTGTGACATATTTGAATCAATTAATGAATTAACAAATTTGAATTAACAAATGAGTTTTTTTTTCGTTTTGTAAACAATTTCCGCCAATTTTAAGTTGCAGATTGTCTACGGATTATAATCAGATTATGATTTGATGAGATTACCGGCAACTCTAAAACAGCCACTTTGTATTTGATAAAGCATTTATATTTTTAAAAAAAAATATGGTAAAGGGCCAAATTTTGCAGAAAAATTCTATACCTGGATGGAAACCTCATTTTCTTAAATCCATTGCTTAACTCTGCTTTAATTCATTCTTAGATTATTTTTTTTATAATTATTACTAATCATTATTTCTTCAATAGAAATGTTTGGCACTATGCCATTGTTTAAAAAAAACCAAAACATTTTATTTTTAATGTTGGAAAATGTCCGAAAATTTACCATGAATTAAATTAATATGCTTGCAAATGTAATTTCTTAAAATAGTTTATGTGGATGCTTATTGGCAGCCATGTAATATTTTTATTTAGTTTATTACGTGTGTATTAAAATAAATTATGATAACCATTTTTTTACTCATAGCTTTATAAATTTTCATAATGATTTAGATGTTGCGAATTATGCTCAAAATCATTGTCTCTTTCTAGGTGCGCCGTATGAATTGTCATCAGTGTCACCTCATGTTTTGATCCCAGACTTTTTGAGTTTGTTAATTGTATCAGTACTTTTTATTTTATTTTAAAAACGTTAAATGGAGACAACTGAGAAAAAAAGAAGAAATTCATTATGCATTTATAAATTTTGAGCTGTCTTCTTATATTTGGAGTGCTTTAATTTTTAAATATTGGAAATAGAAACAGCTTAATTTAACTATTATTTTTAAAATAATGCAACAGAAAAAGGGAATGAATAATTTTCATTAAGCATTTGTTTACTGCCTCTAAGTTTTTTTTTTCGTTCAACAGAAATTAGTAACACAACTTCTATATCAATATGAGAGCAAGCAAAAAAAATATTATATTAAATTTAACAGAAAAAGGTCTGTTTCAAACTTGAAAAATTGATATAATATATAAATAAGCAAATGAATGAATAAATAACTACTTAAATAAAGATGAAATAAAATTAAGTACACAAAGTTAAACGGAAAAAATGAACTCTCAATTTTCAAAATGACTATCAGTTATGTTACGTGCATTTATACATAAAGAAATAAAATTTGTCTTTAGTAATTCATTTATTTTTCCACTCAGTTGAAAAATTAAAAAAAGTGCATACAATTAATTTATTGCTCTTTAAACAAACAAATTAGCATGCCCGATTCATATATGCATTTTTTAAAATATTTTAGCGGTTTCTACCATTTTCAAATAAGTCATGTATAAGTTTCCTGGCAGAAAAGTAACTTAAAACTGCTTATGAAACTCTTAAATCTTAAAGTTAATCATAATTATCTTATTTTTATATTAATAAAATATTTACATTATTCATTTAATTTAAAAACAATATTTGATAAACACGCAAATGTTCACATTGAAACTAATTACATTATAACGTGAAATTTATTTAAGCAAGCTTCTTTATTGAATAAACTGAATTGTAAGACGTTATCATTGGTTTTTGTTCATAACAATTATTAATATCTGTTTATAACAATTTAAATATCTAAATAAGCAAAAATGATTCATTAAGTGTGACTTGTGTCTCTTAACTGCAAAAAGCAATTTTTGAAATTATTTAGAAACAAATTAAGTGAAATAGAACAACACAAAAATGATCAAATAATGCTAATTATTGTTATTATAAATAATATATTCGTGTTCCTCTTTAAGTAAAAATTTGCAGTTTTTTAAACTTTCTTTCCATTTACTATCTAACTAACTTGAGTGGCTATATTTCTTTCATTTCTTTAGTTAAAATATTACTGTCTATTTTTATACACAATGTCTTGAATGTCAGTTTTGAAAGTGATACATATCAGTCACTGTAAATAACTCATTTTATTGTATTAAAAAGTTTGTTGTGATCAATAAAATGTATTTTTCAAATTAATCAAATTTCTTTTTTGTAATATCTTTCTTATTAAAAAACAAACAATAGTTATATTTTTGCTAATGAAAAATGCTATAAAAGCTTTTATTTTGGAAAATTGTCAATTAATAATCTTAACAGATCAAATTGTGCGATCTTATATACTCAAGGTTATATACTCAAGCGTTATATAGACGTCACAGCTATGACACATAATGACATACTTTATAATGGCTTTAAAGTTTCTGAGATACAACAAGATGAGCAAGAAATGAAATTAAAATTATTGATTTCTTGACCAGGTAATTGGGACCATATTTTCTAAATTGCACAGTTGAACTTGAAAATTAGTGTGTCATTGCTGTGGACACTTTATAAAGCTTCAAGACTCTCCATGGACTATACAGTGCGCCAAAAAAGACATACCACTCTGAATAACTTTTGATCTAATGATCGGATCTTCACGTTCTATGACTCAATCTTAATGGTTTGAGGTAGTAACCTCAAATATGCTAATTAATTAGAACAGACGATATTTTAAGTAACGAAATCAGACACAAAAACGTACTTTCTCTGAATTAACATAGATTTTTTTCAACGGATTCAGATATAAAGTTTCAAGACTCTCCATGGACTGTACAGTGCACCAAAAAAGACAGACCTCTCTGAATAACTCTTGATCTAATGATCGGATCTTTACGTTCTATGACTCAATCTTAATGATTCGAGGTGAAAACCTCAAATATGCTAATTAATTAGAGTAGACGATATTTTAAGTTACGAAAACAGACACAAAAAAACTTATTTTCTCTAAATAAACATGCACTTTTTCCAACTGATTCAGATTTCTGTCCCTCAAAATATAAGGAGTTTCCGCAATTTGCTAATATGGTCCCCATAGCGTAAGCAGGTGAGCGACCCACAGTTTGGACCGTTTAATGTTAATTTTAGTTTTTGAGTATTTCGTCTTATCTCGAGAACTTACTAAGCGAATTAAATATTTTTTGTACACATTTATAAAATTTTTTCATCAAAAGATCCTTGCAAAAAATATTTATTATTTTTTATTATTTTATTTAGTAATAGTTGAAAGACTTTTGAATTGTAAGGTATGAAATTTTGTTACATCACTTTAAAGTATGTAATTATACATGGCAAAATGCAAAACTTTAAGCGGAATCGGTCAAATAGTTCCTGAGAATTCGATTATTTAAAAAAAAAAGTGGTATAGTTAAAATTCGATTGCCGGCATCTAACGAACATTTAAGAACACTTACATTAACGAATATATACTTTTACACATTTCTTATGCCATATCACTTTTAAGACTAAGGAGTTTACTTAAAAATGAGTATGTGTTGTTTCACATGGTGTTTTTAAATTTGACTATTATTTGTTTCGCAGATATTTTGATAAATTTTTGCTCAATTTTTAGACATCTTTTTTTTTAACAGTTGGATAAGATGAGACATACTATCGTACTTCTTAAATTCAACTATGAGACAGTATAGATCAAATTAAACATAAATATGGGTAAATTTAACGCCTCTTTAATGTTGTAGGAAATTTGCACCATATTATGCTTGGAAGTACGCATATTATGGTTTATCGTTGGATCGAATTTTCCAAGAGTGTACTAGCTGAGACTATACTTGGTTTTCAAAACCAAAACACGGGAAATAAATAATCATCAAAACTAAAACCGCATTAAAATCTATATAAAAGAAATGTTTTAAGACTTGCAATAAATACTATGGTTTAAAGCATTTTAAAGATTTAAACCATATTATTTGGATGTTTTGAATATAATCGATGAATATAAACCGAAACGAACGTAACCGAACCAAACCAAACCAAAGTGAAATTGCTGAGCTAAAATGAAAAGGACAATGGCTGAGAAACAGAATAAAATAATATCTAGATCTAAATCATCAAAATAAAAGCAAATATAGCGATATTTTTTACAATACAGTTAATCTATTACTAATAAATTGATTGTATTGTTAGTAAAATGAAACAAAGCTCCTCGAACGGTTAATATTCTTAAATTTCAAGCAAGTGATTTTATAAAATACAATTTTAACTTTAAGTACAAGTTCTTTAACATTACGGGAGTATAAACTGTATAGTAAAACAATTCATGATACTGTTTTTATGATAAGCTTTATTACCCTATAAAACTTGGTTTTGAGAGTTTAATTACTCGAAGAAGTTTCTTTTTTCTCTCTTAATGATTGCAGACTAGCTATTAAAACAAAAGTTCCTTTGCATACTTAGCTGTTGCCACATTAAAAACACACCATATAAATTTCTCGAGGTAAAAAATGTTCGGGTCGATTTATGTTCTGAGAAAGAAGTTCTTTGTACTTTCGAAAATAAAAAAAAGTAAATTTTCTCTAAAAAGAAATGCTGTTGGGGGGAAAAATGAAACTTCTTGTTTTTATAAACGGTAAAGTAAAAACATCCTTTGGAGGGATTTCTATTTTTAGATCTTTCATCTAATATTTTATGTCTAAATAATCTTTGAAATTGATTTTACTGCTTTAGATAATTTATTTATATTAATTTGTATTGGTTTCGTTTGTAAATATAGTTATTTAATTTTAAAATAACCCAACTTTATCAAGAAAATTAAAATCGAAAATTAGTCTAAGTCTCCAACAATATTTATTGAATTTACGGTATCGTTAAATATTTAAGGTTACGACTAATTAAAATCTTAATTTAATGATTAATAAACAGTGATACTAAAATTATAAGTTTAATGCATGGTTTAAAAACTTCCAAAATGTTTTTCAAAATAAGTGCAAATTTTAATTTAAAAACTAAAAAATGTTCATGTCACGCTAACATCTCTACAACAAATTATAATGCATAAATTTCAAAATAATTTTCTTTCTTTTTGAATGACGTAAATTACCTGCGTTTTGAACTAAAATCTTAAGAAAAAAAATTCAACAAAACAGTGAAATAGAATATTGTTTATATTGTTTAATAGTGAATTTTTGAAGAAAATTTCTAAATATTATTACCCAAAGCTTGTTAAAAGAATCAAAATCACATTAGACTTCAGCATTTAGTTCAAAACATTGCTGACATTATACGAAATCTATATACAAAATTTCAAAGCATACTATAATAAACTTTTTTTCTAATTCCCTTTAGCGTGAGGAGACATTTTCTAAAAATCAACGATTTTCAGAAAATGCATATAAGATGCAAGAAGGTTCTATGAAGATGTGAGAAAATTCTGAAAACAAGAAATTAATAATTCAAAAATTAATTTCTGAAAAGGAATTTTATTTGTTTTGAAGACAAAATTTATTTAAATACACAGTTTAAAATACTCAAAACATAACAATAAGAAAATTAGTTTCGTTTTCGGGAGTTTGCTTTTTGTTTTGTCTATCAGTGGACAAAAAACAACTATAACTTCATTTCCAAGAATTCGGAGATCGAAAATTAGAAAAGTTTTGGAAAGCTAAAAAATATGGATGATATGATAAAAAAAATTGAAAATTTCGTAGTCGAATTTACCGATTTTTACCTAGTTGGATTTTCACCTTAAAGAAAAGAGAAAAATTTGAACATTCACTCAAAAAATATCTAATTTCTAGTACCTGTTTAGTAATTAATGTACCCAAGTAATAAACTTAATTAGCACTTTATAATTCGTATAATCATTTAAATAATTTACACGATAAAATTTTAATATAATAAAATATACTTAATACTTATGTTGATAATATTGAAAGCTTTTGTTCTAGAAATTTTGTGTTAAAATTAAAATTTCTAAGAAAAGTTTTTTTGGAAATTTTAATTTAAAAAAGTTAAACAAGAAAATATAGAGGTAAAAAAAATTGAAATTACATTTTTCTCGCTTCTGAAGTGCTTTGAGATCTAAACATGCGCGTAATTCAGGGTACCAGTTTAATTAAAGCACTCTTTAAAAAGCACTCTCTACTGAATGTATGAGTGTAGTGTTCTTTCTTACAAGTTAAAATCTTCATAATTTTTATTGATATTATATCTTACTAAACATGCATTTAAATGTCAGTCTGTATTTGCAAATAATAACTATTATTTCCGAGTGCTGCCAAGTCTTTATTTCTTACGCAGAAATATACAAAGTTCACTGAGTTGTTGGTTTCACTGTTGTTGATTCTTTCTACATAAGTTAATTTTGACTAGTCTTTACTCTATTAGGCTCACTCATGCTTAAAAATGTGATTTAAAGTTTATATAATCAAAAATATTTAGAGTTGTTGCAGCGAGAACAACATTGTCACTTTGTTAAAACAACATTGGAAAAAAAAATTCTTCAAAAAGTCAGATTTTCATATCGGAAGCCAATGATAAACCAGATAGTAGCTAGAAATAATAACTGACACTTTGCAGTTTTGTTTCGTTAATATGTATAATATTTATTTCGTTATAATGTATAATATTTAACCTATTTTTGGACAAGGCTAGAAATTTTATAAAATGTGGTATTATTTTCATTGAAATATATTTAAATTACATTCATAAGGACAAAAAAAAGATTCGTGTGTGAAAAATACAATTTTATTTAAGAAATAAAATGGTGAGTATACGCACCATTGGCCAAATCAATGAACAATTCGCTTAGTTTAGTTCAACAGTTACATTTTTAATGGTAACATTCGAAACATTTTGAATTCAAATAGACTTCGCATTTGATGCATAAATAAATCGTGTAGTTTTTGCACACTTTACATCATTTGGGGGCTCTTTTTATGCTAACTTATCTATCTTTGGGGGCTTTTTTATGTCCGATTCTCTGACTTCGTACTTCTATTGGTAGAGCTGCGGATGGTGACTGACCTTTCTTAGGATTGGTAACTTGTAATGTACTTTCACCAGATGCATTGTTCTTGGATTCAGATCATAATAGAGCAATAGCTATATAGGATCTAAAGACTGACTGTATTTTTGAGCTAGTTTAAATTCTATGCAGCATCCAAAAATGTACTATTACGCTATCAATGATGTTTGTAAAT